GTGACTGATTTTATTCTATCACAAATTATACGTGTGTCAATATTATAGTTGTGAAATTTAGATTTTAAAAAAGTCATAAAACATAAGATGAGCTGCTTCAATATTTTTTATTTATTTTTATTATTATTATTTTTTAGTAGAATCAAAATGTTAAAATATTTTGGTTACCAAGAAAATATAAGAAAGTACCCACCCACTAGTTGGGATTATCAAATGAAGAAAGTGTTTTGGTTGGGATGGTAAGGGATTTGGAACTCAAATACTTGATACATAAACTTGAATGTAAAACTTCTTGTTTGCACCCAAATATGGTCGGTACTAATGAGTCCTTCAAGTTGTCCACATAATAGTCCATCATGATTTGTTAACATGTAGTTAACATGGTCCCATAAAATTGTGAGAATTCTGTAATATATATATATATACAGAGAGAGAGAATATTTGTCAATACAATTAATTATAACAATAAAAGGTAAGTACTAAAAAAAATAAAAATAATGATAGTATAATAATAACAGTATTAAACAAAATATTAAGAAAAACAACTAATTTACAAAAGAAATCTGAAATTTCATAGAATAATAGCATGTTTTGTCGTGAATCTCCTCATTATGTCAATAAATTTTTGTTATTATAGTAGAACTAGAAAAAATATATTGTGCCATTTATTATGACAGATAAGTAATTGGAATGTGTTTACAATTAGTTAAAATTTGTGACAAAGAGTTAGAGAAAAATAAATTAAATTTCTAATTTTTCAATAACATGCATTTAGGGAGGTATATAATAATTGAAATTGTAATCTAGTAATTTTTTTATGAGTAAAGTGTAGTGCAAATCACAGATTACATTAAGTTGCAAGTAGATAAAAAAATAAAGATTTTATTTTTAATTTTTTATTATTTTTAGGTCGATGTTTCATTGTTTTGTATGTCAATAGTGTAATTTTTAATTTATTTTTTACACTCAAACAAACAATATCAACCTTAGTATCGAGTCATGGATGTAATTTTCTAACACTTATATTGTACCATTTATTATGACAGACGAGTAATTGGAATGTGTTTACAACTAGTTAAAATTTGTGACAAAGAGTTAGAAAAAATATATATTGAATTTCTAATTTTTAAATAGCATGCATTTAGGGAGGTATACAATAATTTAAATTGTAATCTATTAATTTTTTTATGAGTAAAGTGTAATGCAAATCACAGATTACATTAAGTTGATCAACTAGATAAAAAAAATAGAGATTTTATTTTTAATTTTTTTATATTTTTAGGTCGATGTTTCATTGTTTTGTACGTCAATAGTATAATTTTTAATTTCTTTTTTACACTCAAACAGACAATGTCAACTTTAGTATCAAGTCATGGATGTAATTTTTTAACACTTATATATTTTTTTTATAGAAAAAAAAATTCCAATTAATGGTGAGACGTGATTTCGAGACGTGAAGAGATTTCTATTTTTTATTTTTTTAGTACTTATCTTTTATTGTTATAATTAATTGTATTGGTAAATATTAAATTTGAAAACTAGAAATAGTGATAGTGATTTTGTATTAACACGAAAGTTATAGGTGTGTTTAGAATGTGACCATTAGAGTCATTATAAAAAGTGCGAAAGAATTTTCATTCTCCATAAAGAACAAGAGATTATTACTCTATATATAGATGCCATAAAAATTGACTGTCAAAACAAAAGGATTGAAAGTTATGCTAATGCCCAAGTTTGGAAGCCATGCCTGTGGAAGATAAAATGGCTAGTGTCAAGCTTTCAAAAAATAAAAAAATAATATATATATATTTGCACTTGTTTAAATATTATATATCTCATTATTCTTTTACTTTGCTTGTATTTCCTTTGAAAAGTTTGAAACCAAATGAATAAATGGAAATATGGAATGTATATTCCAATGAATTTTTATTTTTATTTTTCTTTATCTCCATACGCATTTTCTTCATCATATTCACATGTCACAATCACCATCTTCATACTCATTTCACCATCAATTTTAATAGAAGGGTTGTAAGGTGGTCATTTCTTACCTCCTCACAATTTATTAATAGATCACCCTCTTGTAAATGACATGTGAAAATGTGTTTTTCACACCTTAATAAGTTTGAATTTAGGACTCTGACATGCCCGTGCATCCGAAGAGTCCGAAAAATGTGACAACGGTTGTATAATATTATATCTATAACTAATCAAGCTATTAGGATCGTCCAATTTTTATTTTTATTTTTATTTTTTTTAATCATCATCTATACGAATCGTCCTTGTTTTGGATTCTACTCTGAAGAGATGTCAAAAGTTAGGCATGTCCCTTATTTGCATCATACCCAGAGTAAATCCAAACCACATCTAACTCATAGTAGCATTCAACAAGTTTGTAAACGGTTCGGATTTGGGCTTAACCTATTTGACCCATCCTCTTAATTACCCTTTCAGGCTTTCAGCACCCCACATTTGCCGCCACAATTGCCGGGTCTACCGTATAGAAAAAGGGTTAGAATACAAATTAGTGAATTTATGGTGGTAGAAAAAGGGTTCAGATGGTGACTTTGCACTAAAGTTCTCAGAAGTCACATTAGCTATGGACCTATGGTATACAAAAAAGCATATAAGCACTTCTTTGCAATTATATGAGAAGAAGAATATAGTGCATTGCCATGTGCTCCTTCATATCCACGTGAAATAACAAGACTACTCGTTACATTATGAAGAGTTTAGAGATGCCGACTGGGTGTCGTGTGAGTGGTGGCGTGAGTCCTATCACATGATGTCAAAGTAATGTCATGTAATGGATGCCTACACCTCCATTTACATATCCCCTATTCCACGTCTTTAGAGTCTTCAAATTCGAAAGATGTATCATTGCTCTTACATTATATAAGAAAACGATATGTATAGACCAAAAAAAAAAAAAAAAAAAAAGAATGTGAAAATATTCAAAGTAACTTCAATATACGAGATATGAGTCCAACACTCACTTCAGTGACCAAAACCAGGGCTTTGGACATCTTCTTTAGCCTTGATTTCCTCAAAATTAAGGAAGGCCTGAGCCCAATCCACAAAAGACCCATTTGGCTTAATATATAGGATATGGAACCCAACAATCAACTTCAGTGATGAATGGGGAAAAATTGAAGGCAATCACAAATAAAAATTCACATCACAGAATAATTATCAAATTCTTCAAAAATGTTTTGAAGATGAAGTGTGTAATAACACATAGGGGGACATGTTTAAAAAATATAAATAAATAAATTAGTTACAAACTTTTAGAGTCAACAATGGTTAATGAAAGCTTGCAAGTTCTAAGTTCAAACCGAATTTGAATAATCTCTATTACCAAATTTGAATAATCTCTATTAATTTTTTACCCAAAAAGTAGCTCCATGACATCATGTTAATTATCATCACTTGTTACATACACATCTAAATCTAAACAAAAATGATAAGGTGACATTTTTATAACCATCCAATGATGGCAATATCACAACCATTCAATGATGGCTTGCTTTTTAGATTGACTATAATAAAATAAAACTCAATTTTTCTTAGATAAGAGTACCTGTTACAAGATTGAATTAAAGTATTGCTGCGTCAGAATCGATTTTTATTAGGTACTAATAATTCCTTAGAGATGGTGTGTACCAATTAGGGGGAAAAAAAAAAGTATTGCTGCGTTAGGGAGCCGGCTGCCAAACATGAGCAAAAGAAACTTAATAGGAGTTGGCATTCACTCCAAAAAATTCAACTCAAACCTACTCAACAATCAATACCTCATTAGTTTTTTATAAAATGATGTGTAAAGACCAACGGGTCAATGACCTAGCGGTATTAGCCTCTTACTTTTCAAAGGGAGGTTAGGAGTTCAAGTCTTAGAAGAGACGCGCGTGTGAATACCAACTAGGAAAAAAAAAAAAAAAAAAACAGGATGTGTAAAGACTGCACAAACATATCTAGTTTTCCTTACAATTGACTCATCCCATATATTCTACACAACCAACCCTCTACCATCTCATGGTTCATATATAAACTCACTCAGCTCTTCTATTCTACACATCCAACCCTACAAAATCCCCCCTCTCCAGCTTCTTGTAGAGAAATTTTCTCAAATCACTCTAATGGACAAACCCAATAAGCTCTACCATCTCATACTAACCCTACTCTTTTTCTTCACCTTCTTCCAATTTTCATCATGCAGACCATGAATGTCTTTTATCCAGACAACCTCTCGCTGCCACCAGGCCGGTACCGAGTCCCACCTTCAGTGAAGATAATATGGGGCCAATACCACCACCCTCTCCATCGTGGAAGAACTCTGAGCATGTTCTGCCACATGGAATGGATTCCAACGAGAATTTCAATATGGAAACTCCAGCACCAAAGAGCATTCCAGGAAGATATGGACCCCTGGTTCTCAGTATTCTTCCGCACGGTCCCGTGCACCATCTGGGCCGAGCAAGTGGATCAACATGATGAACAATTAGGAGTAAAATGATCAAGTTATGTTGATCTCCATCTATCTTCACATATGTTGGTTGGCACTACAAGAGATGTGTTCATATAAAGTTCATGCATAACATAAACAAAATGACCTATCAACCTCCTCGAAACAATGTCAGTATACTATTTTTGCTACCATTTGACGAAATAGAGGTTAATCACAAATGTTAAACACTGTTTGGCAGACTAGTTTCAAGTAAAGATAGACCTGTTTATATGGTAAATAATTAATTGTGCTCAAAACAAGCCACACTATACAACACGATCACACCACATTGTTTTAGGGCTGACATTAAATTGTAATCAGTCAAGAACTAATCAGCAGCTTCTATGTATAGGCCATGGAGTAAAAACTTCAGCAATCCATAGGATATTCCGGGCATGAGCCCCAACCAAGCAACGCTAGGCAAATTTATTGTACTACATTTCTTTGTGGTTCTGGTGGCATAGTTCCAAAGCATCTAATAACCACCAAAATCATGGAATCTAGACACATTATTCAATCATTGAAACCATAACAGTCGAATTCTGTAAGCTGAGAACCTTCTCTATACATATACATAGTTGAAGAAGAAAGGACGCAACCATGTGATTAAAGCACAGAAATATAATCTCTTGGGCAGTTCAGATACACAGCACAAAGAGAAGCACACTTGCATATGACGGAGTAATTTGACAGTATGACAGTAATTTGATAGTATCCAAGAGCAAGAGCTCATATAACATGTTTATTTGGTCTCCAAGATTGAATCCATCAGGAAGCAAACACCTCACTCTACAAAACCTGATGAAAGCATAACAGTTACTCTTGAAGACAGATGTGGACGAAAGGGGATTCCTTTCTTCAAGGGCACTCTTTTTCATACACTTCACTGGCATACTTCCAGTTCATAACTTTCCATATATTCGTTAGGTAATCTGGTCTGACATTTTTGTACTGCATCATAAAAAGCAAAGAAATTACTAAATTACTCGTGGAAAGGCAAATCGACATCTGCAGACTCAAATAGGCTAATACAGTGAGACATTGATAACTGAGATTTCTAATACATTCAGTAGATGCAAGCTAGAAAATTGTTCCACAGCAACAAATTGATATGACAGCCCATTAATGTGCAAAAATGATAAAAATAAAAAATTTAAACTCAAATACAGAAGATGTCACAATGTTATCATACAAGCCCTTCAATGGGCGACATAAATTATCAAGCACATCATAAGAAGATAAAACTGATATTTGCAAATTTGCATGTCATAATTTTTGCAACTTTTAACATAATAAAATAACCAAATGGGCATGAAGAACTCAAAGGATTAAGAATTACCTGCAAATAGTATGCATGTTCCCAAACATCTATTCCAAGCAAAGGAACTAAATTTGGTCCTTTAGTTACCAGTGCATCCTGTAATGATAGTTCTGCTTATTACGACTATATTGAAATATACCATTTCACTATGAATACAACGAAAAATTGATAAATAAATTTAAAGCATGGAAAAAGCACATAATCAAACTACATAACGAAGCAAGGCTGCAAACTTTAGGAACACTGTAACAACCACCGATGATGCTCTTGTATAAAATTCCAATCCCATGAGTGAGAGCAAGAGAAAATATAACTGTTTATTCCAAGATAACAATCCCCCTCCCCACCAAAATAAAATAAAAAATAAACCCATCCGCAAGCAATGACAATTCTTTAAAACAATGATAATTCTATCAAAAGGTGTCACAAGCAGGCCATCCATACCCAAAATCCCAATATCCTTTTAAATTACATACCAATTATTGCTCAATAGTGTCAAAGTTGTGATAAGATGGTGGGAACAACAATGGTGGGACATACTTTTAAAGAGTCCATGTAACATAGATTTTTAGCACCCAACAGGCCAACAGACAAAGAAAACATAAACAAGTACGCTCAGTTTTCACACAATGATATTGTTGCCCTGTACCATCACTTTAAACATTAGCAGGCCGGTTAAATGAAGGCTGACGACTCAGATCTGGAATTCTCCAGTAATACATGAAGTTTGAAGAGCTATTATACCGAATTGACATAGTCCCATCACACAATCCTACAAGGAATCGGTGTCTTCTCTATCTATTTATCCATTTATTTATTTATTTTCTCATTCTGGTAAGTAACCAAAATTATTGTACTGTTAGCAAAACTAGAGTGGCAGACGATCATCACCAAATTACTTGATGGCAAAACTTGGAGGCTATACCTGATTTGCGGTGGTTTCGATCACAAGCCTTTTCAAATCTTTGTCCACACCAAGCCACTTCCAGGATAAAAGAGAAAAAGATTAAAAAAATAGCATTATCTTCCAAAGCATCCAGCAGACAAAAAGAAGTGAAATGAAAAAAAGATAATATTTCAGAACATTACACAGCTACTACTTACCACCCATCCGGAGCCCTGTAAAGCAGCACCTTCTACATTCATCTTTAGCACCAAATTTTGCATGGAACCAAAATGTGTGTCAATAGCCCAACCAAGGGAATCCTTTGGAGGCTCACCGCCTCCTTCCTGCATCAAGATTTTAATAATTGTCAAAAAATTGCATGAGGGTACTTCAAAAAGAAATAAAGAAAGAGATAAAAAAGAAAAGAAAAAAAAAAGAGTATTATAAACAAGAGTATTGGGGAAAAAAGAAGGCTCGGTGCATAAACTCACACGAACGGGAGTGAGGTTCTTCCAGAAAATCGAGTGATTAACATGACCTGGTTGAAAACATAAATCAGTTTGTCTTTTTTCTTTTAAAAAAGAAAGCCAAGGAAATTAATTGAATGGTAACAACAATAAGAATAGCAATTCTATCAAAAACATATGTGTGTGTGTATAAATATATAACAGTAACCACATGAAAGGCATAATTAATTTCTATATGCTTATATTTGAGGTAGCGAATTCTCTTATGCTCGCAAATCATATACTTGGTGATCATAACAAGATTCTTGATATTAGTGGAAACATTTATTTGATCAGGCAAAATAAAAAGCAAAGCAAAGTACACTAGAAGTTCAACTCACATCGATATCTGCATTAACAAGATAAAATAAGTGTGTCTTCACCCTACTGAAAGACAACCGATTTCCTGTTGAACGCCAATCATGGCGACATTCCTTGAAGAGGTCAACATTTTAAAGTATTTTTCGCTTAACAGGCACTAAAATATGCCAAATAATCCTTAATTCTCGTACAAATTAGCCAAGAATGTATAAGTAGTCATAAGTGTGAGATCACGTGACAAGGACGTTCAAATAGGTTTCTCCAACATCATTAAATTCCAAACTCATATATTTGGTCAAGTCTCAATCCTCAAATAAGTCCATTTCATTTTATTAATAAATCGTTTACACACAGCATTGAAAGTAATACTAACTAAATAGTCTAAATATATTGGTGACTACAGACCAGTGAAAAGGTTAATATTACCTGGAAAACCAATTCATGGATAAAGCAAGTAGCAATTTAGACTGAAAAAGAGGTCTTGTATATGACAATGAATACCCTGACGAGTTGCATTAGCTGGTATGTCAGTGGAAGATTTGCTCAAAAGTGTGAAAATGCTTCATTAAAACTCATTTAGTCATATAGGATATGAAGAAAAGAAATAAGTATCCAAAATGAACAGGAACTGTAGATTTACGACTGGCAATTCAATTAATTTCACAGTCAGGAGATAATATTCATAGAGAGAGAGAGAGAGAGAGAGAGAAATTAAACCTCCGCCATTGAATTTGATGGCACTCTGCAATTTGACAACCGTGGATGAATCACCCTTGGTCATGGCGGCGTCGAGCTGCTCGAGAGCCTTATTGTAGTTGGTTATGTAAGTTTGGTGGTGCTTCTGGTGATGAATCTGCATGATCTCACCGCTAATGGCAGGCTCCAGAGCGCCATAGTCGTAGGGAAGATCGGGAAGCGAGAAGGTCTGCAAGCCGCGAAGTTGCTGAAACCCTAGCCCTAGTCCGCCAAGGGTTTTTCTGGTCACGGAGGTTCGGAGAGCCGCCATGTGGAATCTTCCAAAATCGTCCCACCGATCAAAAATGAAAAAGTGCGTGTAATGTGACTGAAACTGTGTGTGAGTGGCAAAAACGGAAGTGAGGCTTTGTATATGCATATGTAGAGTATATGCCAAAATGCAAAACCCCGAGATGACACGTCACATCGATAAATGGCATCAATATAAGCAGTCGTGGTTCCACGTGGCTTTCGTTCTGTATTTCAGTGATGAAAATGAGAAATTATTAAATTGTGTTGGACCATTGATACGCGGGGATAAGTTTAATTTTAGACTGTACGATAAATATAAAAAGTGTGTTAATATATTATAAAAAAAATTATAACATTAATTTTATTAAATTTATTTATTTATTAATTAATAACTAATTCAGAATTATCTAATAATTTTATGAAAATACCAAATAGTGTATAATGAGCCCAACTTCCTAAAATATTCTATAATTTATCACGAGGCATTTTCCTATTCCACTATATATCTTACCGAAAATTTTCTTAATGTGGTTTTACAAACATAGGAAATAATAAATGCAGTCAATTAAAACTCCTTTTTTTCTTTCCATAGGAGTAACTTTCTGTAAACGGACAAGTGTTATACTTGATTTTTATGAATAAAATTAAAGAGAAATTAAAATGAAATGTATAAAAGTAGAGTTAATTTGTCACTTTTTAAATAAGAATATACAACATTGTCAAAACCTTCCTTTTTATATTAAGCAAGTCTGCACCACTTAAAGTTTGGACTTTTTACTCACCAGGATGACTTTTAGAAATTATTTATGTTTAAGAAGAATCTAACCTTAAATTCAATGCTTAATGAAAAGCCAGACATACATATAACTTATCACACTTGAACCAACCCTTAGGAGTACATGTCTTCAACATTATTGTGAAGATAATATAATCACATGAATTTAATCTTTGAATATATATATATACATATAAAGTAACGCTAAACAACCGGACATTAAAGTATCTCTACTCACACCTCTGATTAGACACTCGACTTTGGATAAATTATTATATAATCTTGGGGCTATTGGCCCAACTTATCATCGTGTGACATCAATAAAAAAATAAATTAAACTTACACATTTTTTATTGATGTGTCACATGATAATTGATCCCAGGATTCATGTAATAATATCTCCCGACTTTTAGACAAGTATACAATTTCTCATATAAAAATTATTATATGTTTATATACATTTTTTCTGAATGTGTCACCTATTATATATATTAGTTATTCTATTTCCAAATATTGGATGGTATAAACACTCTTCTCTCTTTGGAGAGGTTAGGTGTTGCAGCTCCAATGGAGCTCCAACTAAGAACTTGCCAAAAGAAAAGTTTATACTATCAAAACTGATTTAAAGATGAAAGAGCTTACACCATCTAAAGTATAACCCATTGGTAATAAACAAAAGCTTATATTTATAAAGCATGTATCTTGACACAAATGGAAATAAAGTACATATAATTAAATAAATTCCAAGTTAATGTCAAATAATTTGAACTATTCACTAATTTTCAACTTATTATTTTTATTTATACTTTCTTAAAATGCAAATATAATATATATATATATATTAAAAAAAATGCGGCAATTTTTTTTCACTCCCAAATTTCATTTATCCCATATAAGCTCATTATTTTTATTTAAATGATTTTCTTTTTCCCAGCAAAGTATAAGGATCCCACTAATGCATTTGAACATCTTTTTCTTTTCCTGAATCCATAATTTTTAACCATGCTACTCTGCCCAAGGCTTCTTTGACAACCGTTTTCCCTTATTTTGTGTTGCAGAAAGTGTTCAACTTTGGTAGCAAGATTTTTTAAATTAAAATTATCAAAAACATGTTTGGTAAAAAATTGTTGCAAGATTAAAAACAAAATAGTTAATTAAAAAAGGTCACTTGCCTGTTTTTTGAAAACTTAAATTCAACACTTAATTTTGAACGGAATTCAATGCTTATTGTTTGATAACATAATTTGAATCACTGAAACTTGTAATGCTACTTAAAATGGAGTAAAATTTTAGTAAAAATTTATAAGAATTTCAAAAAAATATTTATTTTTTTATTACCACCTAAAATCTTCCGCACTCAAAATTCAGCTCTTAAAATTTTCAGTTTTATCAAAATATTAATTACAGTGTTTTGCTTCATTATGACAAACACGGTACTATTCAAATCACAACACATACATTCCGGAGTTTTACTTCACCACCGAAAACAAAAAAAAAACTGCCAAACATGCCCTTAGTTTGTGATGGTCCTACATGAGTTGTTTAATTGTGTCCTCTCAGTGCAAAAAATAAATAAATAAGCAGATTGCAAACAACCCAAGATTGTTATTTTAATCCTAGTAAAGTAGTAATTAGTCTGTTTTACTGTTGCATCACTTATCTTACTTCTTACTTTCGGCAGTAAGAAATTTTTTTTATATACCATGTCATTAATATATTACCAAGCTTTGACTCTCAAGTATTTAACATAAACCCATAACAACACACACACACAAAAACAAGATTGTTATTTTAATACTAGCAATTAGTCTGTTTTACTGTTGCATCACTTGTCTTACCTCTTTCGTCCGGCAGCAATAATAGAATTGTCTATACCATCTCATTAATATATTACAAAGCTTTTTAAAAAACGACGGACAATTTATTATGTATCAAACCCTCGGTATTTCATTGGTGACCAATGACAATCAAGTATCTAAAATAATCCCATAACAACACACACACACACACAAGATTGTTATTTTAATACTAGTAATTAGTCTGTTTTACTGTTGCATCACTTGTCTTGCCTCTTTCTTTCGGCAGTAAGAATAAACTTTTATATGCCATGTCATTAATTTATTACCAAGCTTTGACCACCAAGTATCTAAACACGATCCCATCCAGACCTTTTTTAAAAAAAGGACTAACTAGGTAAGCTTGAAATGTCTTCAAGCCATATATTGTGAATCAAAGAAGATACACAATTTGGATCTTCTCCTGTGCTGGACAGTTCAGTGCACAATGGAGGATGAAGATCACCTCACTTACCCTCTGTGCACCGAACTGTTCCGTCCATAGACGAAGATCCGGATTTGTCTAACTAGGTTGAGTTGACATGACAAACAATGGAGGATGAAGATCACCTCCCCTCCACTGTGCACGAAGATCCGGGTTTGCCTTAACTAAGAAATACCCATATAGAAAATGCACAAAACTACTTACCATCCTAACCAATACCCTTCATAAACACCAACGGGTCACTGCAAACAACGAGGTAATATTGTAAAGTAAACATTCGGTAATCCAGATGATGTTGCATTGTGTTGACAGCAAATTGAATTGATATAAGAATTTTTAGTTGTTGAGAAAACAAAACCCACAAAGCACAAGATAGCAATATATAATTGGATCCAGGGGCCATTCCAAGCACACTTCTTTGGCTTGTTTTGGAAGAAAATGCCAGAGACTTGGTCCACACTCATTCTTAATTATTTCTCATTCTGTTGTTTCGATAAACTTTTTGGCTTACTTACCAGAGAAAGGATAAACCTTTTTGGCTTAGAACAGCGGAGTTTCTTCTACTTCCTCGTTCTCGTTTGTTTTTGCTTCCCAATGCTTCACATCGATCTTTTTTCTTTCTTTCTAATACATCCAAACTAGCTCCCTGCACATGGTCCAAAATCCAACTTTCATGTAGTATCAAATATGACAATCAAGAATTGAAAACATTAAGGTTGCTCCCTAATAAAATATACATTTACTGTAGGCAAACTTGCATAAATAGGAGACAAGAAAACACAGTTCAAATCACACCAAGTAACCCTCTACTACTATTACTACCATATATCTTTTTCCTAACTGCATTGCAATTCTATTGTTCTTTACTTGACACAATGGGAGATGAATCTCCGGATCTAACATGTATTAGGACATGCACTCTATGCAAATCTCGGCCAATTTTACAAGGTGGTGCTTTGGTCATGGCAGGTGGTCGAGAAGGTAGCGATGATAGAGGAAGGGTAGGAGGAACTCGTTTTGTTATCAGGTTTCTTCAGTGGCTGCTCAAAAGAGAGGTAATACAACCATTCTATGTTTATATTTCCTTTTCTCTACACACAAAGACTAGAGGACAGTGTCAATGAATTCACCATTCTTCTGGCATTGTATTAATTCTTGTAATATGGAAATTTATTTGCCACTGGGTCATCCCAGACAGCAGAAAATATTTGAGGCCTATGGACCATGACATGTCAAAGTAGAGAAGGTGACAAAGACATGTTTTTCAAACTTCTTACCAAGCAACTTGAGGTCAACCTTAATTCTTTCCTGCACATATATCTCGACATAAACACTCCTACCAAATAAATAACATTTGTACATATCTACAAATATACACACCATGGTGAACCACCAGAGTTTCAAGGATGCAGAAAAGCCGAAAAGGGTTTATGGTATTACTATTTCGGTTAATATCATCAGCAATGAATAAAGAATGATCAGAGCTGCAAATGAAACCATTTATCAAGAAAAATTCAAACCCGGCCATACTAATTTATTAAGTAAATGAGTAGGAGCTTTAACATCAAACTTCAATATTAAACGAATCAAGCTCAAACAACTCCATAATTTGGTCATTAGGTAAATGTTCATCAGTATAGACCAGTGGATTTATTATGACTCGTGAATATGACTCATTTTATTTAAAATTCCTAACTACTTTTCTAATCAATCTTAATGTCAACCTCTAGTTTGAGTTTTATTAGAGTTTAATATTTGTTCAAAATGAGTCAAAAAGGTCAAGCTTGAAACTTTTTTTCCCCCCTCCCTGTCAAGCTTGATCTTGACGAACAGAAATCAAGTTGAGTTTGAATACTTATTTCTAATGTTGACAGAACATCAAACTGAAATTTCTACTTTTGGGGAATTTTTTAAAAATCAAAAAAATCAAAAATAAAAAACTCAGCTTGGCTCAATTAGAACGAGAGGAAGGACAAGACCACAAGAAACATTAAATAAGACTATGGTTGCACATAACCTTTCAAAGATACAAGGGATGTGATGTGGTTATATCCCAGAAAATATGATATCCTCTAGGAGGTGTAATGATATTTAATTATAAAACACACTGTACCTGTCTCTAGGGAAATCAGTCAAAGGTTTGGTCCCTCTAACTAAGATATGTCTTATGTGAAGTATGAACCAGGATGTTTAGATGATATAATACTGTCCTATTGTTTTTACTTATCAAAAAAAAAAAATACTGTCCTATTGTTTTGGCCACCTACAAATTTGTCCTGATATGCTCTGTCCATAATTAAAGACAAATACATAAAGTCATTGCAATAAGAATTATAGGCACAAAAGACAGACATAACACCATACGTTGACATAATAAATCTTAAAGAATAAGAACATGAACACAAAGATATGATAATAAGATATATATTAAAATAATATTGTATACAACAAATTTCTTCATTCAATAAACAGTAACTGATATATTAAATAATCATGATCATCCTTCTTATATAAAGGAAGGATACAACAAAACTCCCACGAAGTAGCTGAGTTGGCATAAGGTCTATGGGCATGACCAAGAGGTCTTGTGTTTAACTTCTAGAGGGGTCAAAAATCCTTCTCCCTGGATTTGCCCGACGCCCATAGTATATTTTTTTAAAAAACACACACACACACACACAAAGACAAAAACAACATACATATGTTCCATGTGCTTATGTACAAATACGTATATAAATGATTACACAATACGGAAAATAAATTTGAACAATAGACACACACACAATCTCACATGATATCATATCAATAATTATCTAAAATCTTTCTACATTTTTCTGTTTAATAAGACCAAAATTTCCATATATTTTACATAATTCGTTAATTCCTAAATTCGATTTTTCTAATAATATTTTTTTTGTGCTAAAATAGTCTTATTATTTAATGTACAACATTTATAAAATCACATTTTGGCAAGTGCTGAAGAAGAAGTATCCAATTTTAATTTAAATTATAGACATGTTCAAATTGTGTCAAACCCAGTGATCAAAAGAATTTAGGAAGCATCAACCAACACAGATAGGATCATAGGATACCTTTGAGGTGCTTGTGCTGCTTAGCATTGCTTCTTGTAAAAATTGTCATTACCATTAGTTGTAATAAGATATCACAAGACCAAATTCTTTGAATATAGACCCACCTCAACCCTAAACAATGTGTAACATTGAGATTCCGAGACATCCCACATATTTGTTTGTTAATCATTAGTCACAATTGTGGTTATTTACATAAAGAGATGCATTTCTGGTTACTTCTATTACGTTTCAAGTAAGAAATGTTCAATACTCTATATTACAGTGGGAGCTTACCAAATATTCTTTAACGGTAGACCTTCTCACCTTAAATCAAATACTCTGTTTTTGAGCAAAGAAATAAATATCCATTTAAGGGACCCAAAATAAGCATAATGAGCTTATTTGGAATCCCAGGTAAAACTGAAAATATAATAAAAGTCTAATCTGCACAGGTTGCCTAATCATCACTATAGTTGTGAAAGAAAAAATGTTCTAATCAATGGCTTTGATGCTCTAATTAAACTAATTTACCATAACTGGTTTGTTGCCTTGGATTTCATTATTCATTCTTATAGTAAAAAATTTCTTGAGCCACCTAATGTCATCTTCATACAGATAATAAAGGTGTTTGTTTCCACTAGCATGCCTCTTGGTTCTAGTTGGTCAATTATAATTTCAAATCAATAAAAAACAGTGAAAGAATACAAAGATAAGACGGTGAGTCCTGGACACGCTTTGAGGAAAACATTTTGAAGTTAGAGTAACGCTTAAATGTAAGCCAAAATATCCAGTCCTAGAGGTTACTTGTGCCAAACAAACATATTTTTGGTACCTGACCCTACACCTTAAATTGTAAGTGCTCAAATCCTTCAGTGAGTATAACCTCAATAACTATCAAAGGGAAGACAATAGAGAGTAATCAATTAAAATCATATTAAATAGGATATTTTAATTTTTAGAGATATTTGTTTGCAATCTTAGTATAATTAACAGGGCAAGAACAAAAATGGAGACTATCATTTGCAGAAAGAAAAATCAAGGAGAACAAATGGAATTTTATAACAAAAACAAAAAATACCAATTGTCAACAAGCTGGAAAAGGAACACACGGAAACAAGTCATGTTCAAAACGTTTTTGCTTTCGTCTGACCATATTATATAACAAACGACAAGTTAATCGAAAATTGTGCAAATGTTACGTGTTTTGTACTTTGTCGGTGGTTTTCTGAGGTTTTTCCTCCTCCTTCCCCTTTTTTTTTTCTTTTTTTTTTTCAACTGGAAGGGTCAGTTTTAGGGTTATGAGAGTCTAAATTCTAATTTGCAGCCTCTACAAGATAGAAAAATAGATGAATTTGTAGCCCTAATTACTATAAATAAATAAATAAAAAGTGAAACGTGTGCTTATCTCACTTGCGGCCATTGACTTTTGACAAACAACAGGAATCTTGTGAGCTCATCATGTTTCTGGCATCATGGTAAATCAAATATCATCATATGTCCAACAATCCCTTATATATTTGGCAGCTTTGTTTGTCATATCCCTCCGTGTACTTGTTTACGCATGATCATATACCTTGTGTCAACTTGATGCAGGTAGCAGAGGAGTTGATAGCATTGGGGAAAATAGCATGCCCCATAGTAATAACAAGCCTGCTTTTCTACTCTAAATCCATCATCTCTATGCTCTTTCTGGGATATCTTGGGGACACTGAGTTAGCCGGGGGCTCACTCTCAATTGGGTTTGCAAACATCACAGGTTACTCTGTCCTCAAAGGTTTAGCCACAGGGATGGAACCCATCTGTTGCCAAGCTTATGGAGCAAAGAAATTTGCTATTCTCAGCCAAACCTACAAAAAGACTCTCTATCTCCTTTTTCTCACAACCATTCCAATCTCTCTACTGTGGCTAAACATGGAGCCCATTCTTCTATGTTTAGGTCAGGATCAAAACATCACATCAGTGGCCAAGCTCTACATCACATACTCCATTCCTGACTTGCTAGCCCAAGCTCACCTACATCCCTTAAGGATTTTCTTAAGGACCCAAAATTTAAATAGATCACTCACTATTTCTTCAACTTGCGCATTGATTCTCCATCTTCCAATCAACTATATTCTTGTGGTATATATGAATTTGGGAGTGAGGGGAGTTGCACTGGCCTCAGCTTGGAACACTTTAAATGTAAATCTAGGTTTGCTACTTTACCTTGTTCTATCAGAAAAGGCATTAAAACCTTGGGATCGGGTAGCAACTGACACATGCTCTCAAGCCTGGCAGCCGCTGCTGTCCCTTGCAGGCCTTAGTGTATTATCAGTGTGCTTGGAATGGTGGTGGTATGAGATAATGTTGCTATTGTGTGGTTTACTAAGCAACCCACAGGCAACTGTGGCTGCAATGGGCATCCTTATGCAAACAACAAGCTTCCTATATGTGTTTCCTTCCTCTTTGAGCTCGAGCTTGTCCACCCGTGTTGGCCATGAGTTGGGGGCTGATCAGCCAGCAAGGGCTAAACAGACAACTACTATTGGACTCACTGTGGCCATCGCGTGGGGATTTTTGGCGTTTGCTTTCACTATTGCAGTGAGAGATGCATGGGGAAAACTCTATACATTTGATCCACACATTCTTGGTTTGACATCGATTGCTCTTCCAATACTTGGGTTTTGTGAGTTAGGGAACTGTCCACAGACAGCTGCATGTGGGGTCTTAACAGGATCTGCCCAACCTAAGGTGGGTTGTTATATAAATTTTGGGGCCTTTTACCTTATTGGTTTGCCAGTTGCAGTTCTTCTGAGCTTCAAATTTGAAATGGGTTTCATGGGGATGTGGTTAGGGCTTGCCGCAGCACAAATGTCATGTATGTGCATGATGGTGTGCGCTTTGGTTCGCACAGACTGGCAACACGAAGCTAAGAGGGCCAAGGAGCTGACCCATGACACGGAAGAACACAAGAACGATTTGGAAGTCAATCTCCTAAGCTGACATGCAAATCTGTTAGCATCGCCAGAATAATCTTTTTGAACTCTGAGATCAGAGTCTGGCACATCTTCGCTTGAATCTCTTGGTGTGAGCAAATAATCTCTAATCTAGCCCACCTCCGTAACTGAATCTCTTGCTGTCACTCAAATAATCTCCTTGCACTATGCATATGAGATAGTATTAAACATCCCGAATGGCCAAAGCATCCTGTCTCTCTCTCTCTCTCAGAAGTTGATAAGGAAAGCAGGTCTATCCTTATATAGTTCCATCTGTCTATATGTCATATTTCTTATATTCCTGGGAAGTAATGCTTCAGTTTCCAATGACAATATATGAAAGAATTAGAAGAAAAAAATAAAGCAGCAAAGCAAGGTATCCTAATTTAGAAAGCATTGAATCTGAAATATGATTTGTAAGGAATCACAGTAACTATTTCTTGATAGATAACAATTTTTATTTATTTATAAAGAATGGAATCAAAAAAATAATAATTTATCAGAACAGAGGAACAACGTCAGTTATATATGCATTGCCACAACAATAGATTGATAGCACGTCAGCTCACATAAAACTATAAGCAGAACTAAAAGATGAAAAAGAGGGATATTTCTCAGAACTCACATCAATGCTTTGGTAGAGGGTAAGCTTTGATCTTTATCCAGACCTATGCAATTTAGAAATATAACATACAGAGAACTGCTCTTGCCAACATCTTCATTTTGGTACAGTACTGCCACTAGTTGCTGTTCAATATTTGAAATACTACAGATTGGAAATGTTTCCATACCTGCTAATCTTTGCGTGAGTGACATATAGGGGCCTCTACAACAACATCATATAACAACCTATTTCCTTTTAAAGCACATCAGATTCACCATCCTTTGCCTTGAACAGCCAGAAGAAAACAGAGGATTTACAAAACCGATTAGGCATAGACTAGAAGGGTCATAATGCAGAAATAAAAAGGGAGCTAGCCCGGTGCATGAGGCTCCAGCCATTGTGGGGTCTGAGAAGGGTAATATGTACGCAACCTTACCACCACATGGAAAGGCTGTTTCTAGTTTCGAAGCCGTGACCTCCTGGTCACACTGGGTCATAATGCAGACAATTTTTTTATTTATTTTTCCTCAAAAAAATAAAAAAGGTCATACCCTGTGGATAAGGCTCCCACATTTAGCACTTAGCATGGTCTGGGAGAGGAGTATGGTAGGTAGCCTTTTACCCCTATTTCTAGAGATGCAGACACAAAAAGAAGTTCATAATGCAGGCATGAAAAATAAAAATTAATGAAAGTGACATTGCTCATTATGTTTAAATCAAGAAAAGCCCATTACCAAGATTATGGTAACATCCAATTAAGAACAATCACCCAAAAACAGAAACCTTATCTTTTGTAGTACAATCATGTCTTGTGAATAATATTGGTAACAAGATTGCTACTTAATCAACACAGTTAATTTAAGAAGCATATAAACAAAGCAAGAACTGAAACTAAATACAGCAGAAATTGAAAGAAGTTAAATGTTAACAACGGAGAAGGCAAAAGTTGTCAATAATTGGCCAAAATGAAAATAATGTGCTGATAAAGCGCCTTACTGATGAAACTAGGAAGCCTCTGATCATTACTCATCTTCTCCATCTAGTCTACGCTTCATCTACTCGATTTAGACCTAAAAGTATAAAATGCCCAAATGGTTTTAGAACAGATTAAAAAATAATGAAACACAGATTCAGTAACTAAACAACTTCTTCTACTGAAATCACATTTAATCAGAGAAATCCTTCAGAAAAGAGCACAAATTGAAGAACACAGCCGATTCAATCTTTAGAGATGAAACTAATTAAAGGTTAATATTAGAAGACACATAAATAAGTACAGTTTTCAGAGCTAGATTATATATATATATGGAAGCACTTACAGTTTGAGCTTTATTACCATCAACAGCTTCGACTATACAGTCGCTTTTAGCAGTGGAACTACCGTTTGGTATACACATACATACATATGTGTATATATATGTATACGTATATTCTCAGAGTCCTTGTTACTGCTTTCTCCATCATTTTACGCGGGGATTAAAAAGTTTAGGAAAATAAATAAATAAATAATAGAAAAACGTTCGAGCGTTCAGATCACGCGCTCTCTCGACCAGAAAGGCTTTAACGACGTTTGGTAGATGGTTACGGTGATAGTGTTTTCTGCTACATCTTGAATGAGAAATTCTCGAAAAAATATTCAATACTACGGAATATTGATTATATAGTTTTTTTTTTTTTTTTTTTTAACCAATCAAAACTCAGCATTTTCTTTTTAACGATGCAAAAATAATTACTGTTTATTGGTTTGTTGGAACAATAATAAGTCTACATTTTTTTTTCATTTTTTTTTTTAATTTGTTTTTATTCTCTTTCCCTGCTGAGATTGTGAATTTGATGGATAATAATACTGCATAAAGAGTGTAAAATTGAGGTTGATGGGAGGAACAATTTCATTTTTCTTACAGGAGACTTATTTGTAACTCAGAGAACAATTTTCTATTTTTGAAAAAACTTAAATTTAATTTTCTAAAAACTCAATTATTAAAAAACTGTTTTCAAGAAATGTCTTTTATAATTGTTTCTAGAATTTTTTAGAACTGAACCAAGCCGCCAGGACTCAATATACATGTTTATTTCTCTCTTTATTTTTTCCTCTTTGATTGGGCTTTTTCTTTTTCTTTTTTCAGATCAATGTAGGTGATCATTGAAAGAAGGGAGAGCAGCTTTATAAGGTTTCATCTAATATATAACAAAATTTTCATTATATTTAAAACGGATAAGAATCACCAGAATCGATATGTTCAAAGGACAGGTCTCATCTATACTATAATACTAGCTCTGTCAATTTCTCAGTTTCACACAGATAACAACATTGTCAACTTTCATCCCATCGTATTCATTCCGCATCTTCATTGAATAACACACACACAGCCACAATTCAGCCGCTGGTGATAACTAATTCCGGAGCAGTTCATTTGCCTTTTTCAACCAAACATCAAATATATCATCTGCAAACAGAACAAAATGAACCTGCAAACACAGAATAAGGTGTAATTATGAAAAAATAAAAAAGAAAAAAAAGATTGCACATGTCGGATTCGTATTACTTATGTAAGCAAACTCAGTAGGTCGTTTGAGAAGCAAGCTTGCTTCTTTGTATTTAATTTGCTATTCTGCATCCCCAACTCGTCCACTTTCAAGAGTCTTGACTAATTCAGAGAACGTTTTTGAACATAACCATATGAAAGGTTCCTGACAAAAGGTCAAAATTGTGTTGCTATGGCCCCCCTCCCTCTTAAGAAAATGACATTGTTTTATAGGGATCATCTAGTACTTTCAAAACCTTAAAATCACATTATTCTTTTGGCCTATCAATCAATTCATATGTCACCGAAGAACAAGAAAACTGATAATAATAACAAAATAAATAAACTGCATCAATGAAAGATAATACATATAATTTACACTGAAAACTGCAATGATTTCAATATGGACAATGGAGAATCAAAACCACCGCAACATGAAACAATCTATACATACCCCTTTGAAGTCATTTGCAAACTCTCGGATTGAGGATATAGCCACAGTAGCAGCTTCGTCAAAAGGATACCTGAAAAAAATTTGAAATAAAGATGCAGTGGTTACGCACTTTCCATGAACCAAAAAATATACGGAAGATTCCAAATATTTATAACTTGTTCCATAAAAGATGAAGCTATGTAAAATGCATCAGCTAATAATTTAATTTAAGAGACTACATCAATTTGACAGACAAAACATGAATGATAGCCCACCGTTCCATGTAATCCAAATTAACCAACTATTCAACTCATTCTAATTCAAGTTTACCATCTATAACTCAACCCAGCTGATCGGAGAAATTATTTATTATCTATTTCACATGAAAATGTCAAAGAAAGATTGGAAAGACTTTTGACTACGAAAGTAATATTTATTTATCATAACTGATGGTTCCTTCATGTCAACTTACCCATAGATACCACACGATATGGCTGGAAATGCAACATATTGAATGCTGTTCTCTTTGGCAACACGTAAACTGTTTCTGTAACAAATTTTGGCAGAGGGGGTTTTATTTAAGAAGGCAAAGTAAACTTGTACACAAATGCCAGAAGGGAACTTAATAACTTACCTATATGCGCTTCTCAAAGAAGCTTCAGGATCACCATCAACATCATATATGGGTCCAACTGTATGAATTACATGAGATGCAGGCAATCTAAAACCTCTGTATAAATTTAATATTTTAGTATAAGGTCTGTAAATGTAGGACTGGGTGATACCAAAAATATTATAAAGCTAATTTCAGAGAACCTACTGGGTAATCCTCGCTTCTCCTGTGGGGCAGCGAATTCCAGGTCGGACTTCTGGGACATTATAGCATGCTGCTCGGAGTTCTGGACCAGCAGCTCTATGTATGGCTATCAAAAGGACACCCAAAATTACGGTAGAGTTCATTGAAAACAAATTCATTAGGAAGCTGTTAAAAATATACCTCCATCAGCACCACCACCTCCAAGCATTCGCTCATTTGCCGGAGCAACCTATATAAAATATCCATCCAATTAAAGAAAAAAAAAAACTTATACTCGACTTTATTATGTAGCATTTGTTCTTGTTGATTTGGCTGGTGTCATCAAACCAAAATACAAATTTTGGAAAGAATTTTACTTCACTGACTTGAATTCGGCAGAATCCTTGGATAATATTGGGCAGAAGGTGATATTTAAATTTTTTATTCTGAGATAAATTTAGGAATTCAAACCCCAATATAACTCCAATATCTGAATGTACCCTTACATAATTTTGTACTCCAATGTTGTGCAATTAACTAATTGCAGTATCTTTTTGAGGTGTATTTGGAAATCTGAATGGTTCCATTATCTTTATGCCAATCCATCTTCCAAAAGGAACCACTAAAAAAATGAGGACCATAACTACAACTAACAATATTTCATCAGTTCTAACACGAGTCTCCATTGCTCGTGAAGATGGAATCATTCATGGAGATAGATATTGATTAAATTATTACTGAAACACAATGGGATATTTCAATTTCCAATCGGACATCCAAGTGCCCTTAAGCAATATCACTCATTGGGGTTTGGATTGTTTGACGAACACAAATTTCAAACATGGCAAATTATAATAACAATGCTCATAATCCAAGAGTTTGCTCCATATTTAGCTTATCACAATGTTATCCCATAACTTGTAAGTGAGATATGTGTTTTTTTCATACATGAGCAAAGATCCAGTGTCACTACTAAGCCTATTGAGTAGTGTCAGCATCTGACCTACTAAAAAACAAACAGAAAGAAAAAGAAAACCAGCAAGGCCCACAAATAACTAAATCATAAAGGCATTACATTAAGTGTCATAATTATTTTGAATATGTTGAATCTATAAATAATTCAAACCAAACTAAATTTTAGCCAATAGTAATGTTTGGTTATAAAATGTTAACTCAAAGATGGAATTTTAAGCATTTAAAAGGGGGAAGAAAATAGCATTATACCACACACAAAACAATCATCATCATTGATGAGGTTACAAGCTTATTACCAAAAATTTGGTGACACCACGGGTCCACAACAAAGTAAAGCTACTTAGCAGTTTCAAATTTTATTCGTTCACTAATTAGTGTTTCCCAAACTTTCTTAAATAGCTTGTTAGTTGTTACCCATCAAATTCACAATGAAAACCCTAGCATTCATATCACAGAAAGACAAATGGTCCATATATATATATATATATAGTGTGTATATGTATATTACCATAAAAGAAGAAAATATTTTTGAGACTTACAATGGCATCGGAAGAGCCATCGACGGACCACTGGGTGATGTCTCCCTTCCGGATTTTGAGAGCACAAGACGAAGACAACGCAAAGTGAACCTCTTGCGACATGGTCGAAACCCTAGAAGCGATCGAT